TGTCTCATCGTCGGTCTAACATTCAGTCTGAGCTTAATTTTTGGCCCGACGGTTCACCATTTCGTTCCAAAACCAGAGCTGGGATCGTTACTTGAAAAAAGTAACGCGTTACTTCACAGTTACTTTTGCTTAAAAATTACTCGTTACTTAAAATTTACAGTTACTTTCGAATAATGATAACTTTATTTTCGTTACTTATTGGAAAGTAACGCGTTACTGTAACTTCTTTACTTTGAAAGTAACTTCTTTACTTTGGAAGTAACTTCTTTACTTTGAAAGTAACTTCTTTACTTTAGAAGTAGTTCGTTACTTAAAAGTAACTCGTTATTTGAAAGTAACCCGTTACCTCAACGCGTTAGTTTGAAATAAAGCGCTACTTTTAAATAAAGCGTTATTTTTAAAGTAACGCGTTACTTCAAAAATAACTATTTACGTCGAAAATTGCGTTATTCCTCTATTTGACTCACCAACACAGCAATCCAAACAATCAAATACCTATACCAAATGCCAATATGTTTTTAGTTTGTGAGTCCGTCCGACTATGTGGAAGAGTTTTGTTGCAAAATTCAAATGGATTATGGATTATGCGACTAAATAGAGAACTTGGTTTCAGACAACCCTGCTTTTTGAAGGGCCCCAGTGTCTGCATATAGTGTCTTTAGAGCAGAGGTGGCGCGTGCCACGCCCAAAAACGATTATTTTGAGCTTTCAAAACAAATTTTCTGTACTACCCATATTTTATTTGACATGCAAAGTTTTTGGATTACTTATTACATTTTCCTCAATCGTCAATTATTTATAAAGAAGACAAACAAATTGAGAGAACGCGTTACTTCCATAGTAACTAGTAACGCGTTACTTCCATATAAACGCGTTATTTTCATAGTAACGCGCTACTTTCATAGTAACTCGTTACTTTAACAAAATAACGATCTGCAGTTATTTCAGGAAAGTAACGTCGTTACAGTTACTTATCAATCAACCTGAAAAGTAACGAAGTTACCAAGTAACGCGTTACTTCCAGTAACTCGTTAAAGTAAAGTAACTATTTTTTGTCGTTACTCCCAGCTCTGTCCAAAACCTTGTATATGGGTCCAACTGCTAAAAAATCACGTAGTGTGTGGTGAAAACAGGCTGACGATGAAACACGACGTTTTTAATCGCGACGATGAAAACCTCAGATGAAAACCGACGAGACAGAAAGTGGTGTGTGGGGCCCTTTAGTGATAAGTTAGTATGGGCCGGTTTCTCAATAGTGAGTCACCTCCGGGTTGGTTTTAACTCCAGGATAAGCGTGTCCAGTTGCTATGTTTACCTTCGAATTATGCTTAACCCGGGGGGACCTGCTATTGAGAAACTGGCCCTATTTCCGGCTTAGTGACATTTCTCTATGTAAAAATGTCATTTTAAGGACTACTTATCGCTAAGGCTTCATTGAAATGGTCGGCGCAAACCAAGGATGAGACACACTACTACTACAGGATAGCCTATCCTCATAAGGCCTGTGTAGAACAGATCGGCCCCTTCCCCACCTCCACCGACAAATCAACACTTGTGACGTAGGCAGCATGTTATTTCTCGCCTTGACGTAAGCTGTTAAACAGCTGACGACTTATTTATGACGTCGGAACGAGGCCGATAAGCAATCCTGTAGGTGTGTATCATCATTGGGTGCAAATGGTCATCAAAGGAATGGTTAAGGCTTCCCTTAGTCCCCTTTAACGGTTGGTGCAAATGGTCTTGAATGGCGGTTCGTTTGCTTTAGTTTGCTTCTAGTTTTACTACTATAAGTAGGTACTACTGCTCTATAGAATAGATTATTTACGCTCGGATCCATCCTGAATAGTAACCTGAACTATTCAGTTCTACCGGTTCTAAAGGGTCTCACAAGAACCTGAACCATTCTGGCAGAAACTGGTCGCGTTCACCAGCACTCTACATGTTGAGTGTTTGGTCATGGGGATTAGGGGGCAAGAAAAAATCGGATTAACTTAGAAACAACAATATTCTCATTTAAAAAAGTTCATATGATTACATTGCGTGTTTTTATAGACAGAATCTATTTATAACATAATAACATCCTTGGAACTAACATTAATTTCTCTGTGAACTGACATTAGAGCTAAACCTTTCAAGCGCTTGTTCACCATTGAATTTCTTAGCCAAGATTTTAGGCGTCTTAAGCCTAGTACTCATAACTGCGAAATTCGCATTTTTTTGACATTGCTTCGACAATTTGACGTTTGACACACGCATAAAACGTCAAATTGTCAACGCAATGTCAAAAAAATGCGAATTTCGCAGTTATGAGTACTAGGCTTTAGTCGGAAAAGATCTCTCTGGTGTTGCAGTAGAGCAAGGTAAAGTTGCGAATATTTGTAAAAGATCTTTAATAATAATTGGACAAAAGGACTCATCTGTATTTAAAAACGCGTCAATGGCCGTTCTTCTTGGCAAATGGTTACCACAATGAACTATAGCTAAAAACTGGAATGCGCACACATTGCCATGTCTGCCAAAAAAATGAAACCATGAAAGACAGATGCCACAAGGGGGAATGTTGTTTTTTTCTGTTGCTCGCTGACATATGACGTTTTCGAAAGTTTTGTCATATTTCCCTTCACAGGTTTCATCGATTGGAATACCTACGTGTTGGAAGCAATTTTCGCCATTTAACATAATGAGTGCGACAAAAACAGGTATCCCCTCCGCAACCAATCAGTAGCGTATCCAGCCTGAGGCTCTGGGGGGCGATACGCACAACGCAACGCAACGAAACCACCGTATCTATTCAGCGCATGCGCAGATCGATGCGGATACGGATACGTTTGGAATTCAGGACCTGCTTAAAGTGTCTAATACGGACAACGCAACGAAACCTCCGTATCTATTCTGCGCAAGCGCAGATTGATGCGGATACGGATACGTTTGAAATTCAGGACCTGCTTAAAGTGTCTATTAACAAGTAGTACGAAAACGGTTTGGAGACAGACCTAAGCTGTTTTCTCGCGGTGGAACTGGTTCGATCCGGTTCAATTAGGTTCGAACCTGTACATTCTTGCGTTGAACCAGTGACGTCACATTGAACCTGGTTCAAAAAAGTTCGAACCAGACTCATGGCTTGTTCTCCGTTGACATAAGACTGTGGTTCAAACCTTCCATTTTCTCGCGTTCACAAATAGTGACGTCATCTACAAATTGGTTTAAACCGTAGTTCGAACCATTCGCCCCGCGAGAAAACGCCTCTAATAAAATGATAAGCTCTTATAGGGTTTGAAAAAAGGAGGTTCTAGGTTCAATAGAATCGCAGAGTCTATTATTGAAATTTGTGATAGCCGAGCCGTTGTCATTTTGTTGATTGATAAACTGTGCGATTGTTTTGAACCGTCCTAGAACCGTCCTTTTTCAAACTCGAATAACAAAGCTATTAAATTACTATTTGAGACACTTCAGCACTGGGTCATCCCTCAGTTCATCCATACTTTTTTCATTACCGTACTAGATGCCTCATTCTAACTTGCCCGAAATTCGCTCCTTTTTTGACATTGCTTCGACAATTTGATGTTTTATGCATGTTCAAACGTGAAATTCGCGTAAGTGAGAATGAGGCATTAGTCTTGAAAAGCTAGTCGTTAAAAGTTTTATGAGAAACCGGCCGGTATGGTTAAACGTAGGCCTAACCGCGATACGACTCGAGAACCTGGATAACTTCACTCTACTCTAACTCGAGAACAGTGCAAAGGGTTCCTACGAATTCCAGAACAGTTCTAAAAAATAGCGAGTAGGAACAAACCATAGAGGAAGCCGCGTTTTTTTTCCACCGGCGGATCCATCGATGAGCTGTCTATCTTTGTCTGGTTCATAAAAAATCGGAATTACTCTCTCATAGTCATAATGGTGGAGACCTCTCTATTATAATCGATGAGAAAAAAAACGTGCCCTACTAGAATAGGTTGTCTGGTAATGGGTAACTTGATGACGCATGGGGTACCTCATGGAGATTCACATTATGTTGAGATACCCCAGATGACGTCATAAAGTTATCAGGAAACTTTCGCCCTAAGTAAACATTCTTAGAATTTTGTTTGGAACCATTTTCTAAAAAGTGGTTCGTTGCTTTGGTTCGTCTCGTTCTACTACTTCTGACTAGATCAGTTTCGCTCTGATTCGTTCTGAATAACCTGAACTATTTAGTTCTACCAGTTCTGGATGTCTGATGGGGTCTAGCATAAGAACCATACCCATCATACCCGATAGTCTAGAGTCTAGAACAACTCTGGAACAAACTGACTGAGAATTTGAAAATATTATGCAATAAGACAACAATAATTATCAAAACAGTAATCCGAAAACGGTTAGGAGATAAGAGAATGATAAGCTCTGTTCGGGTTTGAAAAAAGGAGGGTTCTAGACGGTTTAAACAATCGCACAGTCTATTATTGAAATTTGTGATAGCCGAGCCGAGCTGTGGTCATTTTGTTGATTGATGAACTGTGCGATTGTTTTGCACCCTTCTAGAACCGTCCTTTGTTGAAGGGCCTATTAGGGTTTGAAAAATTACTTTCATTCTGGACACCAGGGTGAATGCGTTCTCCAAAAGGGCGTTTGTTGGAGGATTAGTAAAGTAACTCGAACTCAAATTAGGGTGAAGGTGTAAGGAATATCATTAAGCAATAAAATAATATAAATCCATTAAAACCTAATGTTAATTCCAATTTGAGTTATAATTTACACCACGAACAAATCAAGTTTCCGTTAATTTTTGGCGCTAATTGTATTTTAATTTATTCTGCACTTTAACGTGGCTAATCTGTTAAATAATCTATTCATCCACTGGACAATATTTGTCATTGACTACCCATAGAGGAAGGTGCAAAAAAAAATCATTTATTCATTAAATTATTGTTAAAAAAATGCATTAAACAACAACGCCCTACATTTAAATCCAAATATTTGTTGAGTGCGCAGGCGCACGGGAAGGGGGCCGCATATAAATAGCGCCGGCAGCGGCCATTTTTCCACATTAAAGCTAGTCGCATCGAACAAGCGTTTGTGTTTTCTATAAATAAATTTAAATTTTTACAAATAAAAATGAGGGAAATCGTACACATTCAAGCCGGTCAGTGCGGAAACCAGATTGGAGCCAAGGTGAGTGCAATTTTCTTTGATTTCCGCAGGTTTTTGGCAGCGAAAATTGCCCTGACGCCGCCAGACGGCACGCCATTTTGTCGCCTAGGCCAACATGATTGCGTTTTTTTTTTTTTCTAGTTTTATGACCTTTTTGTTAGATTTTTCCGGTTGAATTTTCCGGTAATTATTAATGGGAAACGGTTTAATTGATCGGATAACTGTTGTTGGGCATGCCATGCCGGCACCGCCCGGTTCGATACCCCAACTTTTTTGTAACCGCCATCCTGAAAACGTCGGCCATTATCTCTTATTCAATTTGTAACGGTTTTTTGGCTTCCCGCTTTCCTGTCTGCTATGCTAGGCTTTTTTTGTGCTCTTCTGTAATGGATTTTGATTAAATTTTCACTGTTGAAATTCAAATTGGATTCTAGAGAATCTCGATATTAAATTGAGCTTTTTGATGCAGTTATCTATTTTTAAAAGTGACTTGGGTAATTTTATCTTTATGAGTAAATTTATTATACTTAATTCATTTTATAATTATTAAGATGTGTATTTTATGGTTTCCAAGTAGATATCGACTTTTTTTTAACAAAATTCAATAAAATTTTTGCAGAATTTTAATCAAATTTTTGAATAAACGTGTTCATTGGATACTAGGAATTTGGGGCCAGTTTCTCAATAGCAAGTCACCCGCGGGTTAAGCATAACTCCAGAGTAAGCATTGCAATTGTACATGTTTTGGAGTTGAAACCAACCCAAAGGTGATTTGTTATTGAGAAACCAACCCTTGGTGAATTTCTTCAATTAAATTTCTGTATAGACCCAGCTTAATTCTTTTAAAAATGCCTCACTAATTTCTTTATCCATAAAAAAATACTAGTGAATCTGGTGCCAAGGATGTAATTTGGGTATAAAATTATATTTTCGAGTTTTTCATATTTTCAGACTTACCAATCGAAAAAGGAGGTCAAAGGACCCCGCACACCTCTTATGGGATTTGGGACTTCCGCCAAATTTAACCAAATTTTAGTATGCAATAGATTCCACCTTTCTGATTTAACTTAATCCTATGACTAGTTTTTGAAATACAGGTAGTTTAATGTTCAAGAAATATACTCATTTTATATGCATTTGCATCTACCTGTCACCTGAGTGTGCGGATACCTATGCATCCTGGTATATTATTAGGTGACAGGTAGATGTGAATGGATATAAAATGAGTACATTTCTTGAACATTAAACTACCTGTATCTCAAAAACTAGTCATAGGATCACGTTGGGCCAATGCTAAGTATTGATCAGAAAGGTCAAATTTATATTATACTAGAATTTGGTTTTGGCGGAAGTCCCAAATCCCATAAGAGGTGTGCAGGGTCCTTTAGTGGACTATTTCACCTAGAGTGTATTACACCGATTATACAACTCACTGTACATTATTCTCATATGACACGAGAGGCTTAAAAAGTGATAAGCCTTTTGGGATTATCGCGCTTGGTGGCAATATTGTTCATTTGGCATTAATAATAGTGAAAATTAATAAAGTATTGAAGTTTAGTTCGTTGTATAACCTTCTGAATACCACTCGATGTTTCAGGATTACCTAATACTTTTACCTGACACTCAACGCGTTACCAGCAACACCACTCCTCCTTCGGAGTCGTGGTGTTGCTGCGTAACGCGTTTCGTGACAGGTAAAAGTATTATCCGGTAATCCTATAAAACCTCTTGTGGTATTACATTCGACAATAAATTCGGTATGCAGCTGACAATATTGCTACCTGGACAATACCAACAACATGGTATTTCATGATTTCAAGCGACCATTTTTTGACATTGTCAAACTGATCTTTTTGATTTGAAGTTTTTATTCATATTTTTGCATTCTATTTATTTTCAAAATCTTACGTGAAATAGTCATGACGAATACCACTCGAGAAAAAATTGTGTAGGCAAAATTGTTCTCAAGGTTTTATTCAAGTTTGTTGCTTTCTGGCAATTTCGCTCATGACATTTTTGATAAAATCACTTGCCTAACGGCTCATGATTTTGTCAAAAATTTCATTCACGAAATTGCCAAGCAACAAACTTTCATACCTTTCGATAATTTTGCTGACAAATTTTTTTCTCTTGTGATATTATACAGTGTCATTACTTAAGTGTGCAACATATGGGTTTTTTTTAGTATTAGCACAATCAAAATACATACAAGGCCAAAAGTTGGTGCATGTCGGATAATCATATTAGGTGCACTTAAAATGGTTGCAAGTCAAACCGCATACAGGGTAGCTCAAAAAATATCATAATTGTAGTAATATTTACTTGAATAAAATAAAACTTTTGCACTTTAAGGAGATTTTTTTAAATATGGCTATTATCATGAGTAATGTTTTAACTTGTTGAAAAAAAAAATTGCAACATTTTAAAGTTGTGTTGAATATCATTTAGTGATGTGAACAAGGGAACGTTCTGATTGTGCTTTAGAGAACATTCGCGAACGTTCGCGCACGAAAAAAAGGTTCGTGCTGAATATTACCTTCGGAGCACAATGAGCACGTTAGAGAATATTCAGCACGTTCTCAAGCACGATCCTAACCAATAAAATCACATAAAGTAGAGATATATTTATGGAAGCTGTTGAAAGCGAAGATATATCGAATATTGAGCCCGAGAACCAGGAAGCAACTTAGCAGCAATAGTTTTTTTTTTTTTGGAGGCAAAGGTAGTGTTGTACTGGAATATACTTAAACTAAAATCACTATTTTATTTTATTATCAAAAAAAAAAAAGAATCCTAATGATAATTGTATGTTGAAGTTTCACAGAAAACCCCAAATTAGAATAATTATTGTTATCAAACATGACACAATTCACAAATTATGTGATTAATTATGTATTAAGTAGGTATATTTTCTTAAGAAGTTTGAGAACTTTCAGCACATTTATCAAGAATTTTCAGAATATTCAGAACTTTCACGAGAAATTTGGGAATTTCGGGAAATTTGAGAAAAATCAGAATTTATTTAGAAAAATGTTTTGTTTTATTCAGCTTCTGATAAAAAGCATAAATTCTCGGGTCCTGCTCGTTTTTGCTTGTTTATTCTCGTTAATTCTCGATCCTGCTCGGAGAACGTTCTCCTAAAATACTTGCTCGAGCATTTTACATCACTAATATCATTGCAACAAACATGAATATTGTGATTCCATAAAAAATTAAAAATCTAAGTTAATTTTACTAATATGCTTGAATTTGAACCAAGTTATGTAAAATTGATTTGATTTTAACTAATTTTTGAAAGTATTAAGGGCGGAAATAAAAAATAAAAAAATTATAGAAATTATAGATTTTTTTCGAAAGAAAATAAAAAAAATCTTAGGGGGCTATGTTTTGGTATTTAGGCATAACTTTTAATTCCAAACAACTTTTCTCTATAACATTTTGCTGAATTTTCTAAAGTAAGGGTATTTTACAGTACAGCTTTGATATTGTTTGAGCTACCCTGTATACTGTTTGACTTGCAACCATTCTAAGTGCACCTTATATGATTATCAGACATGCACCAACTTTTGGCCTTGTTTGTATTTGGGTTGGGCTATTACTAAAAAAAATCTCCATATGTTGCACACTTAAAAAATCACACTGTATATGAAAAGAATTTTTGTATCTTTTTTTTTGACGTTTTAGGGCCAGAAAAGAATTAAAAATAATCCCTATATACAATTTCGATTTCCCCAAGATAGCAACAGGAAATAACTCATTAGGTACTCTGTTTTCTTTATTATCTTTTACAAATTTTTGTATCAATAATGAGTCTAAATCATAAATGAATGTTCTACAAGATAATAAATTGGTTCCTATATCTCAAGTACTTAGTTTTCAAGATATGAGTCCCAAATTTTTGAAAAAGGTTCAATGTCATTATAGACCAAGGAAACTTTGTAGAACAATTTGAGTGAATCTTGTTGGACACCTTTCGTAGTTTTCAAAAGCAATTGGAAACATTTGATCTCTGAAATAGGTATCTGTTCTCTGAAAATTTCAATGCTTAGCCTCACAAAATTACTCAGGGTTGGCAAAAATTATTTCATAGTGCATAGATAATTGGATTTTTGGTTTGATTTTTTTGTGTTTTTGAGCTAGGTATACTTTTACGTTAAGTTTCATGTACTCGTTAGGTCTGTTTCTGCAGAAATCACAAACCAGTCTGAGTGAATTTCATTGGTTAGAGACAGTCGGAAAACTAGTTTCAACCCATGAAACTCACTCTGACTGGTTTGTGATTGCTGCTGAAACAGACCTATCATAAATATCTAAAATTTTTAAACAAATAACAAGTAGTTCTGGGTTTCATAATTTTTATTTATTTATCTCTCTGTAAAAAGCAGTATTCCTTAAAATTGGTTTTTTATTTGTCCTTTTTTTAAACATTTGCTTGGAATTTGCACTAATCAAAGCCTTTGTGGAAGCTATAACAATAATTTTCAGTCTTCATAGTTTCAAGAGAAATATCCAAAACTGTCTCCTTCAAAAGTTTTTATCCTTGGAAGCTATAAATTCCTATGAAACTCTTCCACGCCCCTAAATTACTCTGTATGCAATTCCTAAAGTCAATATGAAGCAATATGTAGATATGTTTTTTTTATTATTCTAATAAAACCACCCTAAGCATCTTTTAATTTAGAAAACAGACGAGTAATGGATAACAGGTTATTCGGGTCTCTACTGATATTCATAGATTTGCTTCTTATTATTCAAGGTAGAAATTTCATTTTTGATCCAAATTTCAATTATTATCGGCTCTTGAGGCCTTAGATATTTTTTCTAGAGGCCCTCAAAAGCCGGTAATAGCTTGAAATTTGATCATTACTGGCTCTTGATTTGTTAGAAATATTTTCTGGAGTTTCACATCTTACTTTCGATCCAAATTTTAATTATTCTTGGCTCTTAAGGCCTTGGATATTTTTTCTTGAGGCCCTTAAGAGCCGGTAATAGCTCAAAATTTAATAATTACTGGCTCT